TAGAAGGAGGGGCCGAGAAAGACATGTTGGCTACCCGCGTGTCGAAGACGAGCCGCAAGTTGACGCCGTTGGACTTCTCGACGAAGAAGAACCCAGTAGAGAACGTAGCCTGACGTTCGGCGACCTCCCACTCAAGCATGCCAGCCTGATCCAGGCGCAGCAGAAAATCAGCATACTCCCGAGGCCGAAATCGAAGACGTGGATCCACATAGGGCGACCCCAGTCCCGAATCCTTCCTGAGAGCAGCTGCATCAGCAGGGTCACGTAGCATTTGATGCCTCCACCCTGACAGCGTAGAACGATCGGCTTCAGAAACGAGGTCGGCCGTGGGGACAGGCGCCACGTGCTTCGGCCAGGAGACGAGCTCCTTGTTGTAGGGTCTCACCCGAGACTCTCCAGAGTACCCCGGCGCCGATGCGAGCAACTCTCCGAGGGCTGCCTCGCATCTAAGAGGAGATTCGGAATATCCAGGAGGTAGTTCAAAATCGCGATACTGTTGAGCAATATACTCCTCAGCGCCACTACGAGCGCGCGGAGGAAGACCAGGCGGCGGGCTGATCGCATCGTTCGGGTCGCAGTGGTACATGTCGTTGAGAGTGGACACCGCGTCGTTGTACCACTCGCGCCAGGTAGCACCCTTGGCGGCCCGTCTGCGGGCCGACCCGCCCATGGATGAAGTGCCCGATCTTCGCTCCACAGGAATAGGGTGGAGGGGAAAAACGTCTCGCTGTCGAGGAAGTTGAGCAGCGAGGGGGCAATGAGCCTGGCTGGCGCCACTGTGGCGCGCCCCACAGCCAGGCCTGAAGTTCTCTGGCGTCATGGCGCCCGCAAGGCCCGCTCCTCGCGAGCCTTGCGGCGCTCTTTGCTGATGGCGGCCTCCGCCTTCATCTGGTCTGCGATGTACTCCAGCAACTTCGGCGAGATGCAGAGATTGGCCTTGGAGACGCCTGCGCCGAGGAAGTAGCTGGTCTCGGGCATGCTGGAGGCCCCAGCTGCGGCGCCGCCTCTGGCAGCGGCCTTGGCCTTGGGGGCTGCGCCGCTCGGGGGTGACGATCGCGTCTCGTACACCCGCTCCTCCAGAAGCTGGAGCTGGCGAGCGACGATCTCGAACGATGCCATCTCGGCGATCTGCAGCTGGTCGCACACGACGGCGAGGTCCAAGACGCGGCAGAGGGTCTCGCGGAGCTTCGCGTGCTCGTCCTCGTCGGGCAACGCCATTGACGTAAGCCACCTCTGATGCCACGCCGTAGGCGTGCCCGCCATCGTCGACATGAAGGACAGGCACCAGAGAAGGGTCCTCGGCCCTTGCACAGGCCAGCCCTGCACGGCCGTCTCCGAGAGGGCGTTGACGGCCTCGCCGAACCTCCTCTCGCGCTCGCCCCGCGGGTTGAGCAGCATCGGGAGGATCCTGAAGTCGCCGACGGGGGCGGGCGCCGCAGGGGCGGCGGCGGGAAGCGCAGCCGCCACTCCGGGTGCTGGCACCAGCGGCAAGGCCCCCGCGGGGCCAGGCGGGACGGCTCCCAGCGCGGCGGCCAGCGCAGCGACGCCAGGGGCGACGCCGAGAGGGGCCGCCGCAGCGGCCGCTGCCGCGGGGGGTAGCGCCAGCGGGGCCGCAGCCCCCGCGGGCGGCGCCGCACCTCCCACGCCAGGTGGTGGCGGCAGGGCCGCAGGCGGCAGGGCGGCCGCAGCCGCAGGGTCCGCCAGCGGGAAGGGACCAGGCGGGGCGCCTGCCACGTTGCCCGCCGCGAGCGCCAGCGGCAGCGGGTCGGCGGGTCTCGGGTAGCCCGCGGCCACCGAGCGAGCGACAGCCGCCCACAGCTCCGCGGCCGTCGGAAGGCGGCGGAAGCGGTGTACCGCGGCGCCCGCCAGGGCTGGCGGCGTGTCGCCCTGGCCCGCGAGCTGCAGGACCGCTCGCACGTCGGGGCCGACGACGATGGGCTCGTCGTGGTCGTCGAAGTCGGGAGTGAGGATGTAGGCGAGGCCCCCGTTGGCGCCAAGCGTGAGGCGCTCGTGCCACAGGGGCACGCCGCCAACGCGGTAGCGCAGCACGTGGAAGCTGCCCGCCATCACTGCAGCGCTGGGGCGCGGGCTCGGGCGTCGCGCACCTGCTGCGCCGCGAGAGCGGCGATGTCGATGCCGTCCACGATCTCCACCACGGCGGGCGGCTGGTGGGCAGACTGCCCGAGGAGCCGCCGCGCAGCCCAGGCGCCTCCCACGGCCCCGACGGCGAGGCCGACGGTCAGCGCGGCCACCGAGTAGGCCGTGACGAGGCCCAGGCACGAGGGCTCGACCACGTGCCCGCCCGCGCCTGCGCAGACGCAGGAGGGGCAGGAGAAGGTCGGAGGCGCGGGGCAGGCCAGCTGCGGCGAGCAGGCCCCGCAGCTGGGCGCGGCGGCCCGCGCCACGACCGTGGCCCCCAGCGCCTGCGCCCCGTACCTCAGGACTTCCGCCGCATGGTGGGCGATGTCTTGCATAACTGAGCAAGACACCTGAGAGACTTGAGAATGGAAGCGCGGCCCGAAAGAGAGCCACAAATAGCCGCGGGCAGCATAATGATGATGATGATGATGAGAGGAGGGGAGGAGGGAGGAGGAGGGAGGAGGAAACGCGGGGCGCTCTCTCTTCAAAACGAAGACCCAACACCACAGGATGGTTGGGGGAAAAAGAATTAGCCTGGCGAAGGACCCAACCATATGCAGTTGTGAGTACCGCAATTATGAATATCTTCTTCGGTGAAGCTCCCCCTGGGGCCACGAAGCGCTGTACTGGGTGGGTGAAACGCAGGGAGCAAGAGCTGTGCTGGATGGTGGCTGACGCACGCGGGCGGTGCCACTGAGACCTTTGGTGGAGCTCCCTATGGGGCCACGGAGCGCTGCACTGGGTGGGTGAAACGCATGGAGATAGGGCTGTGCTGGGTGGTGGCGGACGCATGCGGGCGATGTCACTGGGACCTTCGCTGGAGCCCCCTATGGGCCACGAAACGCTGTACTGGGTGGGTGAAACGCAGGGAGCAAGGGCTGTGCTGGGTGGTGGCTGACGCATGCGGGCGGTGCCACTGAAGGCCTTCGGTGGAGCCCCCTATAGGGCCACGAAGCGCTGTACCTGGTGGGTGAAACGCAGGGAGCACGGGCTGTGCTGGGCGGTGGCCGGCGCATGCGGGCGGTGCCACTGGGACCTTCGGTGGAGCTCCCTATGGGGCCACGAAGCGCTGTACTGGGTGGGTGAAACACAAGGAGGAGGGGGAAGAGGGCCACGAAACGCTGTACTGGGTGGGGGGGGACGCATGCGGACGGTAGACCTGGAACCTTCGGTGGAGCTCCCTATGGGGCCACGAAACGCTGTACTGGGTGGGTGAAACGCAGGGGGGAGGGGGAAGAGGGCTACGAAACGCTGTACTGGGTGGGGGGGACGCATGCGGACGGTAGACCTGGATCCTTCGGTGGAGCTCCCTATGGGGCCACGAAGCGCTGTACTGGATGGGTGAGAAACGCAGGGAGGAGGGGGAAGAGGGCCACGAAACGCTGTACTGGGTGGGGGGGGCGCATGCGGACGGTAGACCTGGAACTTTCAGTGGAGCTCCCTATGGGGCCACGAAGCGCTGTACTGGGTGGGTGAAACGCAAGGAGGAGGGGGAGGAGGGCCGCTGTACTGGGTGGAGGGGACGCATGCGGACGGTAGACCTGGAACCTTCGGTGGAGCTCCCTATGGGGCCACGAAGCGGTGTACTGGGTGGGCGAAACGCAGGGAGGCGGGGGTGGAGGGCCACGAAACGCTGTACTGGGTTGAGGGGACGCATGCGGACGGTGGACCTGGAACCTTCGGTGGAGCTCCCTATGGGGCTCCGAAGCGCTGCGCTGGGTGGGTGAAACGCAGGGAAGAGGGGGAGGAGGGAAGAGGAGGGGGAGGAGGAGGGGGAGGAGGAGGAGGAGGAGGAGGAGGAGGAGGAGGAGGAGGAGGAGGAGGAGGAGGAGGATGATGATGAGGAGGAGGAGGAGGAGGAGGAGGAGGAACGCGGGGACCGTCTCTTCAAAACGAGGACCCAACACCACAGGATGGTTGGGAAGAAACGTCCCCTGAATGTATGGTTTACCACTTTGGACTACTCCTCCTGTAGAGGGACAGGCCCGTGTTGATCCTAGTCCTCCTGCGCTCCCTCCTCCCTCCCTTCACCCGCCTCCTCGGGCTTCCCACTCGGCGGGCCTTGACCGCCCGCTCGGCGGGCCCAGACCCCTCCCTCTCCTGCCTGCTCCTGCTGCTCCTCCTCCTCCTCCTCCTGGTTCCTGGTTTCGGGGGCGGAGGAGGAAGAGGAGGAGGAGGATGAGGGGGAGGAGGAGGAGGAGGAGGGGGGGGAGGAGGAGGAGGAGGAGGAGGAGGGGAGGAGGAGGAGGAGAGGAGGAGGAGGAGGAGGAGGAGGAGGAGGAGGGAGGAGGAGGAGGAGGAGGAGGAGGAGGAGGAGGAGGAGGAGGAGGAGGAGGAGGAAGGGGAATGGGAGAGGAGGAGGAGGAGGAGGAGGAGGAGGAGGAGGAGGAGAAGGAGGAGGAGGAAGGGGGACGGTGGGGCTGAGATTCCATGGCCTGGTCCGTGGGCGCGCAAACATGGATTGGCGATCCATGGATTTGGCGCGCGGTCGCCAAATCCATGGATCGGGGGGAGGTGCCCTTCCCAAAATGCAGCCGGTGCCGCCTCGCTCGGCGGCGGAAATCCGCGATTTCTCATGAGAACGGGACCCGTCGCTAATCCAAGCCCCCTTAATCCATGTTTGCGATCGCCTGATGGTTCCTGGCGGCTTGAGATTCCAGCGGTGCAGCCTCCCCCCTCCCCCCCCCGGGCCGGTCGGCCCTGGGGGGGCTGATCGAACCAGAGCCAAGGGTGGCCCCTGAAGCACCGCTCCAGGGGTCACGGCATCGGTAGACCCTTCTCCTCCTCCTGTTCCTTTTCCACCTCCTCCTCCTTATTCCGCACTCCCTCCCCGCCCCCTCCCCCTTCCCTCCGAAGGGCTCCTGCGCAGCGACGATCAGTCTCGCCTCCCCTGGCCGGACGGCCCGCATCAGCCTGGTCGCCGCCTGGGGGGGACGCGGAGGAACGAGAGGACTTCGTGGCACTCAACTCGGAGGAGCACTCAGCGCGAAGGAGCCCAGGGACACACGAAGAATTCCCCATATTTCCATTATTTTCTGGAGTTTCGTCTTCCCCTCTCACTTCCCATATTTTCCCATGGTTTCGTTGGGGTCGACGTTGTGTTGTTTCCCTCCTGAAGAGCCTCGCCGATTCCTCGGCCACATGTGACGACGATGAGAAACGGGCCTTCCGCATTGTGACATAGCGACCTTGCGCGGTGGCTTACGCGAGTCGCCAGTGCGGCACGCTACATTGGAAACCAGAGCGCGTGCGTGCCATCTTACGCGGGAAGCTTACGCGCGAATGCTGGCGCAGTCGAACACGTTGCCATTCGTCGCTCACGAAGGGCCGTGCCGCGTTAGGCCGAAGAGGTACAGTGGTCCAGGCGCTGGGCAGCGTAGCAAATGCAATGTGTGCTACCCGCCCGGGAGGAGGAGGAGGAGGAGGAGGAGGAGGAGGAGGAGGAGGAGGAGGAGGCGGAGGAGGCGGAGGAGGAGGAGGCGGAGGAGGAGGAGGAGGACCTTGCTGCTGGGGCGCGTTTCCGGGGCGCCCCTCTTTGCGCGACGGGCGTCGAACCCCAAAGCTGTGGCCACACGCGCACCTCCACGCGTGGGGTCGACGGGCCGGGCACTGCGCGGGAGGGCCAGCGCCGAGGCGGAGAACGGGGTACGGCGGGGGGACAGCTCGATGGGGGACAAACGAGGCGGGTGAGGCAAGGGTATGCCAGATAGTTTTTTTTGTTTGCCCCTTTGTCTCCTCTGGCCTGCGGCCGGCGCAGGGAGGGGAACTCATTACTTTTGAGCCCTGTCTGACCGTGGACCCACAGCATAGCATAGGCTGTTGGCGTAGTAGCTGCCGTAGTGCCTGGGCATGATGTGGTCGCCGCGGGGGGGAACAAAAAGAAAAAAAAGTATGCCAAATGGTGGAAGGTGCAGCCGGGGCGAGAATCGCCGGAAACGCAGCACTGTTAGCAGGTTGTTCCTGGAAGGCCTTCGTACCAAAAACAACGGAACAGGGTATCGAGCCCGATGATAAAAAGACCCAGGATTAGTCTGGAGCAGGCGGGCTTACGCGGAATTGCACTGGATCGTGTAATGATGTGCTTGTTATTGACTACGGAAAAGGAATCGCCAATGCTGCATGTAACCTCCCAGGAGCTGCATCCTAAGCATTACGTCCGTATGTCCCACCCCCCCAGGTCGTCTTGAGGTTCGGCCAGCAAGCGGCTGGCGGGGGCATTAGAGAAAATGTGCCGCCAATTTCGAGCCGCCGTTCTGGCTGCTGGCTGAGCAGAGCGGTAGTGACCCGAGGCATCAGGGAGCTGCAGGGCAAGCTCAGTTAGCGACAGGCTCTGGCAAAATTACGCGGTCACGTGCGGCCACAGCCGGCAGGAGACACGCCATCGACTGGCCATCGGTGAAGCCGCGATGGCACCCACTGCGGCCAGCGCAACTGGTCGTCGGCCCACACTTCTCTACTCGCGCACCCTCCATGTGATATGCAGGGTGTGCCCCCTTTGCCAGATCAAGCGTCAATGCCTTGAGCCTCTCAGCGAACATTGCTCCGGAGGGGGAGGAGAGAAGAGGAAGGAGGCGTAGGAAAGCAAGAGTGGTGGAAGTGCTGCGATCAGGATGAGGGGGAGGAGGAGGAGGAGGAGGAGGAGGAGGAGGAGGAGGAGGAGGAGAAAAGGAAGAGGAGAAGGAGGAGGAGGAGAAGGAGGAGGAGATGGAGATGGAGGAGGAGCAGGATGAGGAGGAGCAGGAGGAGGAGGAGGAGGAGCAAGAGGAGGAGGAGGGCAGAGAAGGGAGGCGGAGTGGAGGGGGCAGGAATAGCGAGCAGGGAAGAGCAGGACGGGGGAAGAGGAGGAAAAGGAGGAGGAGGAGGAGGAGGAGGAGGAGGAGCAGAAGCAGGAGGAGGAGGAACAGGAGGAGGAGGAGGAGGAGGAGGAGGAGAAAAAGAGAAACAGAGGATGCACAGGGAAAGGCGTGGAGCGGGAGAAGGGGAAGCGCTGCGGGCGGGAGGTGTCGCGTTGCCAGGGGTCAGGACGGCAGGAGGATCGAATCCACACCGACTAGTGGTGAGTATTTGGACCTCAGCTAGCGCAGAAAGGCAACACAGCACCAATCCCAACATTAGGAGCCAACTTCTTGAATCTGTTCGTCATAAAGACAAGTTGGCTATTACGCCCGACTGAGGGGGCATAATGCCAAATTTGGCCAGATCGAGCCCAGGATTCAACCGCATTCAACGGAATTGAATTGGATGTAGCGGGATGAAGCCAGCTTGCGCAGGAACAAGCCATAGTAAGCCAGAGTTCGACCTGGGATATGACAGCGGCGATTCTGAATTTATCGCGTCCGAACCAAACTGGGAAACGACGCCGTTGGATGGGCACACTGAATCCGGGCAGTGGCATGAGTGCCAAAGTTGAGAATCATGTTATTGCTGCCTGGCATGGACACAATGGCGGTTGATGCCACGAGGGAACGACCACGAGGGTAAACACACAGCAGCGCTATGCAAAGCAGCGCGCAGCAATGCACAGCAAATCTCCCCTTCGCTCACACATGAAACCTCGCTCCGGACTGCGACCCAATGCAATGCAGCAACTGCACGGGTCAAGAGCAATCCAACCCAACAACAACGAAGGAAGCAACTGGCACAACACGCGAAGGCAACGCAACAGCCATGCGGAGCAAATGGAACAGCAACGCGAAAACACTGCGACGCAAAACAGCACCCCAGCCTAACCGACAGAACGACAACGCAACACAAACGATCGAGCCTCTATAACTCCCATACACCTACGAGAAGCATCTGGGCACCCGCTCAAGCATCATTCAAACATCTCTCTCGGGAACCTCTCCGAAACCTCTCGGAAACATGTCGGAAGCATGACAGCAATCTCGCTGACTGTGTTCGGAACGCCTCTCAGAAGCCTCTTAAGAGAACCATGAGAATTCTGTCAGAAGCATCTGAGGAACCTCTCAACAACGTCTGAGAACAAACTCTCGGAAACCTGTCGGAAGTCCCTCGGGGACATCTAAAAGAGATCTCTCGAAAACTTCTCGGACGCCTGTCGGGACCCTGTCGTATACCTTCTGGAAGCCTCTTGGAAACTTCTCGCAAGTTTCTGAGAAGAGCATCGGAAGCCTGAGCAAATCCAAAGCAAAACAGAGAAGCCTTCACAAACCCTAAACACATCCATACCAATGCTGAGGAAGCCAAGCGAATCCCAGAGACTAAACAATCAAAAGAAATCCGCCGAATCCCACAGGAACCTAGATAATCCATACTAACGTCGCACGGACTTTTGACAGAACTGTCCGAGGAATGCAGTACCACTTCTGTGGGACTCATTAAGAAGTCGCCCATAATCCAAAGGATGTCCTCAATCAGCACGGTTTTTTTCGGGAATGATAATATGTCCTCAAGCATTTCGAAGGATGCATGCGAATTTCCTCAGGGAAATGGGCGATTGTATCAAAAGCATGGAGACGTCCTGAGGAAGCATGAGGAATCGTAGGTGTCATTTGACACGATGCGGAATAACATTGGAGTCATAGGAGCCCCCCAAAGAAGTAACAAGGACTTCCAAGGAATCAAATTAGCTCCTCTGGAACCATCCAGATGCCTCACGGAGTTCGCGAGAAACCATGCGAAACCCGAGGCAACCCACAGGATCGCATGCAGTCTGCACAAAACTAAAAAAACATTCTGAACCTTACCGACGGGACTTGCTCCACAGTTGGGATCCGTCAGAGTTGGTTGGGATCCTTTCCATCCACCCCCCCTCCCAGGGACTTCTTCGGGGGCCAGGAGACTGATTTTGCCAGGATGTCCCGGGCACGCCCGTCCGTTTGGGATTCTCCGGCCGCGTCTGGCTCAGTCCCCGTCCCCGGCCCCTGGGGGATCAAAGGACGGCCTCATTTCTTCGCGCGCGGGGGGGTCAGGACGACGTGAGCTCACAAGACAGTCTCCCTCGAGTGAAGGGTGAGAGCAGAGCAATGAGGCAGGACGGAGTGCGTTTAAGCGAGGAGGATCGACGAAGAAACTTGGCTGTCCCGATACCCGATGCGCAGCCCGTGGCGTGTTGGCACGGAGCTCAACACGAGAATTGAACACGTAGGTCTGGCGCGACACATTCGCCAAAACGTGGGCCAACACGGGCATGAGACGTGTTGTACACGGGCGTCTCGGAGAAGCTAAGCGCGAGGCGGAGGAAGGATTGACAGCCTGAACAGGCTGATGAACGACACCGCGATGCGGCGATGGCGGCCGCCTGCCCGCTGGGCGCGCCGTCCCGCGGAACTCGATCTGCGGCGGCTCCTCGAGACCGGCGGCGGAACTCGGCTAATGAAAGGCATGCGCAGCCCCCCATTCTCCAAGAGCGCAACTTGACGCAAGGCATTCCCCACAGACCCGCATCGCAGAGAGCGATGCCGATGCGCGGGCTCCAAGCAGCGCCAGCCTGGCAGCCAGGAAGCAGGGGCGTGGAGCTATGCGTGGTTGGCGGCGACGACGAGCGGTGGAGGGTGCAGTGCACGCGACCACTTGTGGGCGATCCTGGGACCAACCAGTCATCCGACGTCCTGATGCTCTCCCAAACTCCCCAGAAGTCTCGATCTCTCCCCGGGGACTGGCTTTACATCCTGAGTCCTTGTTGACCGTCCTGGGGCCCAGTGAGGGGCCACGAGAGCCCGAGAATCACCTAAAGCTTTCGATCGTGATTTTTAGCGCAGCGCGAGGGTGTCGTGGGAGGGGGAGGAGGAGGACGAGGAGGAGGAGGAGGAGGAGGAGGAGGAGGAGGAGGAGGAGGACGACGAGGACCAGTGTAAACCTATGAATCATCGGCGATGCTGCCATAAACTCTCCCTCCAAG